CTTGCCCTGCCCGACTGGCTTCACCTTTGCTCGCGCGGCCACGAAAGGTGCAGCCTGTTGTTGCGGTCCTGCCGGGGGAGTGGCAGCCGCCTGCCGCTCCATCATCACTTTGAAGCCCGAGGCTATCTTCGACATCGCATCCTCTAGGGTTGCAAGGCGATCTCCAAACACGGCCATCGGCTCCGCCTCGGGCACCCCAGACTCGGCCGACTGGAAAGCGAACTGTTCGTTCACAGCCTGCTGTAGAGCTTGGGCATGCGGAAGGAGAGGCAGCCCATGAGCGTCCACTCCAAAAGGGTAGTCGGCACCCGAAGCCAAGTAGTCGACAGAGCCTTCGAGCTTCGGATCCAGGAGCCCAACCCATAGTCGAAGCTTCTCGGCCGCCACAGGTGCCCTCCGATCGTCCGGTCCACAGGCCGCCACCTCCAGAGCAGCGGTCTTGAGCAGGGCAGTCCTCGGCAACACTCTCTTTGGCGGCCTCTTGTGCCAGACCGCCGAGGGCACAGCTACCAGGCACTTGATCCCAAGCTCGGTCAAGGCGATCACCTCGCAAGTTGCAACCCTTCCATCCGGGCCACTCGGAAAAGTGAGGACGCCCACCACGTAATCGTAGTCTGGGCCCTCCTCTCCCACCAGCAGATAATCGCGCAGGCCGCCCGTCTCCTCCTGCTCCTCGGGGACCGCGCCCACCGGTTCTTCCTCCTCCTCGGCCATCAGTAAAAAGTAGGGGTGGCAAGCTGTGCCGCTCCAACGACCACGTCCAGATCGGCCCTAGTAGGAAGGCCCACAAGCACAGAAGAACCCAAGCTCGAGCCAAGTTTGGTGAGGGCCTTGACTGGCGGGTACGAGGTGTAAACTCGCGGCGGCTGCAGCGTGTTCCCTTCGTAGTCCCTAAGCACCAGCCAGAATCTTGATCCCTGGGGAAGGCGGTCCCGTCCAGAGCTGCCTCGGTGCTCGCCGGACAGCGAACGCAGCAGCCAAAGACCAATCTCTCGGCAGGCCGAATCTCGTTCACTCCTCGGCAGAGGCTGGAAACTCTCACCGTGCTGTCGGGAAGAACTCCCCGTGGGCTCAAGGCCCTGCAAGGGGTACACCTGACTAGCCGGGCTTTGGCCGACCTGACTGCTCCTTGCACCTGCTCTAGAACCTGCG